TTGCTGAGAATATGTGACTCAAAAGTCTTTGGCCAAAGCAATTAACTGAATCAATAATAGAGATTACGATCATGTTCTAATGAATCACTAAGGGCTTGACATGAGCATTGAATTAGAGAATGACTATACTCCACGGCAATTTCAATTGAATAGGTTCACAACCCTATTCTATATTGGCTTGGGTAACCGTGACATGTTGATAGACATCACTCACGGTTTGAGGACACCTTGAGAGCAAGATATAATCTAGTTCTCATGAAAGGAGAATTAAAATGGAGTTTTAAGTCACAATAGATCAATAAAGAGTTTTGGATCGCCCACTACCTTACCAATTAAAACCTAATGGATCACACACTGATAAATTTAAATGAAAGGAAATAAATATAATGTGCATAGACTTATTAATTTAATAGAGATTGAATTAATTAAGAGAATGTGAAAAATGGTAGTTTGGGCCTAAACCATAAAATCGGGTTCAAGGCTCATTGCCTTTGGACCCATTGGGTTAGTTAAGACATGCGTTGTGGGCATAGTAGGATAACCACTTAAGCCCAACAAGCCCAAGTAACACCCCATGGCCAGTTTTACCATGAGGAGACTTTGGTCTCCTTATGTGTCTATATAAGACAACTTTGTCTCTTGAAGATGAGCTGTGGTAGTTTCTAAGAGAGGAGTAAGAACACCATCAAGCTCCTCCCACCTAGCCAAAATCGGTCACCTTGGGAAGTGAGTACTAGCATCCTCTCCTTCATAGGTTGCATCATATCCTTTATCCTCCTCGGTGTGGAAAAATTAGAGATCATCTCAATTGGTGATTTAATGAATCAAAAAGGCCTTCCATAAGTTTATCAACTCAAAAGATGTCAACTCTTTTCCATAAGATGAAACACATAAGGTGCTTCAAGGGTAAAGTTTCTACTCTCTCTTTCTCTTAGTCTAGAATGTCTAGGAGAGGAACAATCTAAACCAAGCCTAAAGATACTTGGGGTTAGTTGTGTTAAAGCTCAAAGATTTAATTTTAAAGCTTTTTTTGCCTAATATAACTAAAATTTTAATGTTTCCTTCAAGCCATGCCCAACGTCGAGAACAGGAGGATTGAAAACAGAGATCCGATGTAGCAAGAGATCCATATGACCCCAAGAAAACCCAGGAGCCAACCACCACCACCACCAGCCAGCAAAAACCTGTCTTCCGCAACCCTCTTGTCCAAGTATCAGAACCACAGAATGCCATAGAAGACCCTATGCATGTCAGACCTGCTCTCAGATAGCCTTATAGATCAAATAAAACATGAACCAAGAAAACTAATTGACACTTTTGGCTCTCCACTCGAGCAAAACCAAAACCACCACGAGGCAAACCTTAACAAGATGAGACACGAAGGGGGATGAAGAGGCACCGACAACCATTGGTGAGATAGGAGACCAACGCTTGGAGTAGTGGCGGAGCCAGGATTTCACATTAGAGGGGGCCTTTCACAAAAAATTTAAAAATAATTCGAATAGGAGTCCTCAAGCGCTAAACGGGTTAATAAGTTAATAATATCATTTCATACTGATTAATAATTTATCCATTTATTACAATCATAATTGTCCTGAATTTCATATTTTAACATGGTTGAATATTAATTTCATCATCTACACTATTAAAGACTCAAAATTTAATAATTTATACTTCAACAGAAAGAAGAAATACAAAAAATGTTCATAAATCCCAATATTAAGATACCCTACTTAGACATGTAAAATAGGGGAAAGGGGAATTCACAAAGCTTAAATTAATCAAAAGAGGAAGAGAAGGAGAAAAAAAAAGTCTTTACTCTAAGGAGCAAACGTATAAGTAAAAATATGAGGAAATAAAAATAAAAATGAGAGAGGGCCTAGGCCCACCCTAGTCCTTAGGTGGCTCCGCCACTGGCTTGGAGTCTGATGCAGGCATGAGGGAGTCATGACGACAATGACACCACGAAGTAAGAAGAAACCCTAACCCTAAAAAATATTGCTAAGCTCTCCTCACATGCGTGCGAGAGAGCGACCCCTATACAAAAAGCGACTAGTTTGTCAGAATGAAGAATTTGTGTAGCCTTTCCATCACTAATCGCCTCAATGGACTAATTCACTAACCCAAAAGGAAAAAAAATGAGAAGAGAGGAGGGGCAATGACGCTTCTTCCTCCTCCTCCTCCCCCCAATCTCTTTCTCTACGGAGTTTTCCTTTGGGGCTCACAAAGGGAGAGAACAACTAGGATTTTTTCCACCACTCTATTTTATTATATGTCCCTCATTTCCCCCATTTATTTTTTAAGTACAAAATTTCCCCATTTAAAACAAAAAATCATTGTAGTTATTTTTAAATCCAAACTTTTATTCATGATCAAGAGCGAATTATTCATACATAAACTTTTACAGTACCGAAATAATAGTGCAAGTCACTTGTATTTTTTAAAGGTAAAGATAAAGTACTAAAACTTAATTATGTTGATATTAAGTAGAGACCATCCAAATCCCCATGCATATACTCATTACTTGAAAATAGCATCATGAGTCATTCTAGACCAATAAGTACAAGTCACAGAAATATATGAGCCATCACCAAACCTCTATTGAGTATAATAGTGCACTATCTCTCAGCATGTTACTCACATATTCACCAAAATCTCCAAAAATTCAAGTTAATCTCGTAAGCTTTAAAGTACTAAGAATTTCATGAGAACAATTCAAGAACTTCTTGTGATTTGGGATTTTCCATATTTTGTATCAATTTTGTTTTACCTATAACTTTATCATTTCTAAACTTTTTTTTTTTTTTTTTTTTGTGTGCATGCATATACTCATTACTTGAAAATAGCATCATGAGTCATTCTAGACCAATAAGTACAAGTCACAGAAATATATGAGCCATCACCAAACCTCTATTGAGTATAATAGTGCACTATCTCTCAGCATGTTACTCACATATTCACCAAAATCTCCAAAAATTCAAGTTAATCTCGTAAGCTTTAAAGTACTAAGAATTTCATGAGAACAATTCAAGAACTTCTTGTGATTTGGGATTTTCCATATTTTGTATCAATTTTTTTTTCCCTATAACTTTTTCATTTCTAAACTTTTTTTTTTTTTTTTTTTGTGTGATTCAAAAACCTAAATTGAAGCATTTTTCATGTAGATTGTGATAGTACAACTGGTTTAAGCAATATCATAGAAAATAAGTATGAAATTACTTGAGTTACATACATGACGTTGAAAAGCATTTCTGGGTTCTTCTTGTTTAATCCAATTCTTAAGGCAAAGAACTATAAAAAGGTATTCATACACTTACGACAAATGTGTTGGATGTGAATTGAAGAGTTTTGGAACCTCAGTTGGATCTCCAAAGTATGAAAGTGTAAGAAAGTGTTTGTGATTAAAAAAAAAAAGTATTTGTGCTAAGTCTCTCTCTTTAACTTATAACATATTTGTAAGCAGAAGCTTTGTGTGAATGCTTAGAAAGTCTGAGAGAAAAAGGCTGTATTTATAGGCTAGGATTTGGTTTCATTTGAACTAGGTTTGCATTTGCTAAGTACTAGTTAGGGGACAAAATTTGGGTGACTTGATGGTTAGATGTTGTGCAAATCTTGCACGTGTTAATTCTACATTCACAAATATATGAGAAACATGTTTTATGAGCATTTAGAGCATAAAACTATTATTTTTGAGAATAGATAAATAATGAAACATACATGGGCATTTTTGTCATTTTCACTTAAAATTGCAAAACTATGAATATGTAGAAAATGAATTTCTATGTTCAACAAAATAAGTGAGAAATATTTATATGAATATTTATAACACATACATATGTTAACCACTCTGGGAGAAATATCTTTCGCTCACTATCAGTGCATTGCCATAACAATTTTCTAACAGTTGAAAATAATAACAATAATACTAAACTACAATTTTTCATCAGAATGTATCACGTATTCCTTATGTGAAGGGATATTTTAGGACTAAACAAGCCCTTAGACCTAATATGTAGATGGACTAAAATATCCCTCCACGCAAGAGAGGCACGTGCAAGGATGGACCCACAGTGGGGTCATTGGGGTTAAACGACCCCATGGAAGCCATAGAAATAGGTTTGGAGGTCCATTTGAGCTGGCTGTGAGACCCCTTGGATTGCCCTCCAAGTGCTTGATGTTTTGCCTGACAGGAAGAGGAAGAAAGCCACACGCAAGAGTGTTTTTTTTTTTTTTTAACATGTTGGGCAAAACGACGTCATTTCGGCACAGGCAAATTTTTAAAATAAAAAACCCTCACGTATCCCTCCACTCTCTCCCACCCGACCCAGCCAATCTTCCCATCCCAAAAACCCTTAAACCCCACATCTCCCAATTGCTATTATTCTTTTCTCAAATCCTAACCCCAAGCTCCCCAATCCCACCTACTGTAATTGTGATATTTCTCATTTCAAGTAAGTTCTAAATCTTAAAATCAAAATAAGGATGATGTATGCTGTTTTTAATTTAATGGAAATCAAATTTGTAATTGCTTGGATGAAATTTATGATTTATATGTATTGGTTTGATTTGTTGGATGAAGTTTTTGCTTATTTGTTGATTAGGTGGTTGTGGTTTTTTTTTTGTTTTTTGGTTAATTGGCATAGGTTTGCTTTGAAATTTTATGAATTGAAATCACTCAAAAACATACATTAAAAAATGACAAATTGAAATCATTCAAAGTATATTTTTCCAAGAAATAAATAAAATTTGGAAGAGAAAAAAATAGATAAGAAAAATAACTCATTCTTAAATTTTGTTGGGAACATTTACACTAAAACTCACTGGATTCAAATCCTGAGTCCATCACTGGGCACATGATGCGTTTTAATGGAGAATTAAACAGAAGCCGACGCATGTAGTAAATTGCAATACTTCATATAATTAAGTAGTTAATAATAAAACTTAAAAATTCAGGTAGGAATCTACTATATGCCTAAAAATTCAGGTGGGAATCTATCATTTGAAATCTATTGTAAACCTTTCCACTTCCAAGTCCGTAATGAAATTGGAATAAAAAAAATATTACTTAATGACATCCTCCATAATCCTTCCAAGCCCAAAATGTTCCAAATTCGTGTGAGTAGCCCCTCAACGGTTGCTTTTGCAATTGGTCGAATCCAGTTCAACAGAATGCCCAAAACAAGATTCTCTGCCATTCAATCGAAAACAGAGATACCCACTTCCGAGCCAAACCCAGGTCAGACCAAACTGCAGTTTCCTCACATTCTCTCTCTGCTGCCCTCCATTGCTTTCATTGTCTACCTTTTAATACTAGTTTTGGGTTATTCCAATTTCATTTCTTTTTGTTTTAATGTTGGATACTTTTATTTGTGAAAATTTCAGGTTCTGAAGGTTCCAACGATGTTTCAGCTCCCGAGCTTCGTGTTTTTACGAGGAGAAAGAGATTAAAAAAGACAGAAGTTCAAAAAATACATCTTGAAGTAAAACCTCATGCCCCAAAAGTGAGAATTTTTACTTCTTAATAAATCAAGAAATGGGTTTTCTTTAATTGCTTCATATATAATAACTTTATCTGGATACATGGGTTCTTTCATTTTAGAAAGTGTTAATTGTTTGTATCCTTGATTTGTTACTTGAAAGTTGAAACTAGCATTTACATGGATTCTGATTTTAGATGGATACATATATGTGCAACGCATACAGTTCTCCCACTCCACAAGTTCATTTCCTCATTTTCTCCCCTCTCTTCTTTTGACACTTGGTTTCAATTTATTTACACCTAATAACCATTTTGTTTTGACTGTGATATTCTGCATCCAGAAAAAGAGCCTCACTTTATAGTAATGAAGTTTAAGCTATAAATTATTACATTTTGTATGAAATGGTATGTGAGTTAATGCACATGTTACTGGCTAATTGGTTTCATCTTGCGTCTAGTTGGACTAAATAAACTTACTTTTAGTCAATATAGAAAATGTGGGGCTAAACTAAAACCATAACCAACTGCTTAAGGTTGAGTAGCATTAATTGGATCAATGATGTATGGCGCTACCTTGAAGCTAATCTTGCATAGGTTTTAAGCAAGGAGTAGTCATAATTCACATCATCAGTTCCTTCCGTGCAGCTCGCTGAACCACCTGACATTGAAGAATTCGCATATACAAAAGTGAGTGCATCTACAAATTCAAGTAAGTACCTCTTTTGACGACACATGATTAGGTGTTTTCGTTTCCTGGGTGTTTTAGTTTCCTGGTGAAATGAGCTCTTGCTTATAGATGACAAGATGAAAATAGTTATGAAGTACTTTCCGTTCATACCAGTGGATTCCATTCATTAAGAAAATTGTTTGTGAATTGAACTCTGACCTAGCTGAAAAATATTGTTGTTTTTTGAGCAGTCCTTGTGCATTTATCATTTTGAATTAATACACTGAATGTGCTGCTTATTGCATGGTGTTCGCTTCTTTCTTGAGCATTTCATTTCATCATGCCTTTTATTACAAGACTAAATCCTTTGACGAATTTTTAGCACTCTATTTTTTTTTGTTAAGGAAGAATTTTATGTTTCTGTCAGAATTTCTTACTAGTGGGAATCTTTGCACCTTTCATGATGAGGTTTCATCTTAAGAAATGCATCTGCAAATTTAATCCAGGTGGGAAAGTATACATAAAATATCATGATTGCTGGCCAAGCATGTTAGGTAACAAAGAGGATTCCCCCATTAGGTTTACCGTCAAAATATATTATCTATACTTTCCAAGAATGGCAAATGATGAAGAGGATTTTTGAATTTGAATAATTGCACATAAAGCTAACCCTAATTGTAGCAGAGAAGGACAATGTCTGCCTCTAGTAGGAAGAAGATGAACTATCAATCAACTGGTTTACCGATATAAATATATTTCTTACATGTCAGTGTAAATAAGCTTAAGTTGTTCATTTCAGTTGACACAGGTAAACCACCTGCTAACTGGGAGAAAGTCCTTGAAGGGATCCGCAAAATGAGGTCTTCTGAAGGTGCACCAGTAGACAGTATGGGTTGTGAGAAAGCTGGAAGTGCTCTTCCTCCTAAGGTATAACTCTCCTCACTTCCATAAATAAAAATTCGAATGAAATCAGGTTGGGTAGGTTTAAGGAAGATTTCAACTTACCGGATTAAAATCTTTGTTTCTGTTTCATGGTGATACATATTGGCTTCAAATAATGTTAAGGAAGGTATTGATAAAGTAACCCCTTGATAGCCATGATCTTAACATCTAGCGAAGTCCAGAACTATAGCTTTACACTTGTCAATTCCTAATCTTGATTGTTTCAAACATTTACTTCATGATAAAATGCCTTCTGATGGATTTTGTATTATCATTGCTTTGTTATTCCATGAAATATTTATGTTATGCTATGAAAAACAATATAAAATCAGGAAAGAAGATTTGCTGTCTTGGTGTCTTCTCTCTTGTCAAGCCAAACGAAGGATCATGTTAATCATGGTAGGTTTGAACACTTGTGTCTTTTAATATGCAAGTTCATGCAATTTTAAGTTCATTGTCATTGACAAAAAGCCTTGATGAACAAATTTTGTATGTGGACGGGAAATATGGAAAGAAGGTGAAAGGTGTCTAATTCTTGCTACAAATAATCAAACAAAACGAATAGATATCTTATTTTACGCCGCTGTTTGTTTTCATGCTGATACTTCTCCTATCAGACTGCCTGAAAAGCTTTTCCATTTTCACTTTTACATGACACAGTTGACTAATGGCTGGTACTGAATCTATCAAACATAACTTGGGGATCTAAATATTATAGAACTTTATAATCTATTGGTCCCAACCGAAAGTGTGCATGTTACTCATCTTCTGCTCAGCAGAGTCTTCTCAGTTGTTGTTGCTCTGCATCTTACTTACAGTTATATTTCTGCCACTCTACGGTCTCTTTGGGGTGTAGGTGCAATTCAGCGTCTACTTCAAAATAATCTGCTCTCTGCTGATTCCATTGACAAAGCTGATGAAGCAACCATTAAAGGCTTGATTTACCCGGTATGTTATTTCAATTCCACTTGAGAAATGGTGTAGAAAGAAACTTCGCATTTGGCCAGAATTAGTCCAAAATTGGGGGTAAACCCCCCTAATTACTTCCTATGCAAAGTTAAATTGTAATTTTTTTAAATTTGCTCAACGTTTTAGAAAATTTTAACCATATCTTTAAAATTCTTAAATGCAGGTTGGGTTTTATACCAGAAAGGCTACTAACTTAAAGAAAATTGCAAAAATTTGTCTCACAAAGTATGATGGAGATATACCTAGCTCATTGGACGAACTACTCTCACTACCAGGAATAGGTCCTAAAATGGCTCATTTGGTAGGGCTGGTTTGTACTTATTTAAATTAGCATGCCATCTTCGGTTCTTTAAGTTTTCTGATGTGGGGTGCTTAGGTTATGAATGTGGGTTGGAACAATGTCCAAGGAATTTGTGTAGATACTCATGTGCACCGCATTAGCAATCGGCTTGGGTGGGTGTCACGGCCAGGCAGAAAACAGGTACTATGCATCACATATGTGTACTAACTAAACTTTATTCATTATCATAAATAAGATCTTCCAAAATTTTGCATATTGTTTTCTATACTGAAATATACACTGCATCAATGTATAATTTTTAATCTCTTTTCTAGAAAACTTCAAATCCTGAGGAAACGAGAGAGGCTTTGCAATTGTGGCTTCCGAAGGAAGAATGGGACCCCATAAACCCTCTTTTGGTATGCATAGCTCACTTCTCAATACCAATGACATGTTTAAAACAAATTTTACAAATTACTTCCCCTTAATACCTAGTGTGGACACACAGACACATGTTTGTACCCATGATACATACATGTTGACTGCGTGTGTGTTGATGTATGAACACATGTTTGCATTTGGTGAACTGGTGGCATCCCTTCCCATACCACAGCATACCCTCTACTAGAAATGGGTTAAGAAGGGGTCGTTTCTGAGTCTTTGATGTGAAGTTATTACTTCACCATTTTTTACTAGTACTTTTATGCTGAGCAATAAACCATTTGGTAGGATATTCTTCACCAGGTATAAATTTGATCTTAAGACTTTTCCAATGAACTGAATGCTGATTGCCTTTTGTCTATCTATAACCTTTTGTTTCTTTGTTCTTCTATTCTGTCGTCACAAATATGCACCATTGATGGGGAGTTCTATTATACAGTAATGCATTTTCTTCCTTATTTTAATATGAACAGGTGGGATTTGGACAGACAGTTTGCACTCCGCTCAGACCTCGTTGTGGCGTGTGCAGTGTAAATGAGTTTTGCCCATCTGCATTCAAAGAGGCCTCAAGCCCATCATCCAAGTCAAAGAAGTCTGGTTTGAGCAAGAAGCTTTGACAAATTGAATCTCAGAGGGGAATCAGTTTATGTCTTCTTCTGTCTGCCTTTTGTACATATATCTCAACCCTAAACAATTTCATGGATTCTTGGATTGCCGAGGTAAAATTGTGTCTTACCACCTCATGTACTTAGGCAAAAGGGGAATGCAAATTGGGAAAGGGTGTCAATTGGGAGAGTTTTTGTGGCATAGTTTTTGGGGCATTGTATAACAAATTCAGGTGGTCAAGATCTATATAATTTTCATTGAAGTATAATTGGAAGATCATGATAAGTGATTTTGGTAGCAGAAGTAAGATGCCTATATCATTTCCAGTCTTGCTAAAAAGCATTATTTAAACAGATGGAGGGTTTTCTAACAGAAAACAGACACCTGAGCTTTGCCCTACAACTCTATATTCAAGGATCAAATTGAAACCTGGTTGTCCGCAATGGCAAAAGACTTAGCTAGGAAAAAAAACACACTTGTTGACATGTGTTTGAGCATCTCTAAGGGAGATGTCAAATATAAAATTTGAAGGTTTAACTCTCCTCTTCACTTGTACTGGAAAAAAGTATTATTTTAATAATTAAAACTAAAAAAAAAAAGTATAATAAAAAATAATTAATACTAACGTCTGGTTCTTCAAACCTAAATGGGGACGACATATGAAATATTATGTTAAAAAATCATTTGAAGGCACACTTTTCTGAAGGCAAAGTCGACATCAAACCTAGAGATGTGAAATGATATGGATTTATAACTGTTTCAGTTGGAACAATTTTTCCTGTTAAATGAAAGTAATGTCCAAAGGCTTCACAGGAATTTATTTTCAACTTTTATCATTTGCCATTAGAATTTAGATCGATATTGTAAACTTCATAAGAAAGCGCTCAATTATTCCCTCTTAGAAAAATTTGACGACATTATTTGTCCCTCCTTTATCTTATTGATCCTCAATTATGCTTATGACTTCTTGCTCCAGTAACATTGGGTTGGAGTGTGGGAAAGTAGCAGGTGTTTAGGTTGGAATCTATGTAAAAAGAAAAGAAAAAAGGTTTACTTCTTTTGGCTTCCGTAGCGATTCCTGTTCCTATCATGGTTGCTATTGGAATGTATCAATATTCACAATGATACGGACACCGTATCGATTCCTACCATGGTTGCTATTGGAATGTATCAATATTCACAATGATATAGACACCTTATCGATACAAATAAGCTCCCATTGGGATAAATATGCATCATGTACATTATCACAATCATTCCACAATTTAAAATTAGATTTTTTTGGTGTCAAAAGATCATCAGATTGCAACACAAGGTTTTTCTACTATTACAACATATATATCCACGAAAACACATGAGATTGCACTCAACTTCGACTAGAATCTTTAATTAATGGATGGATGTGCTGCAAAAGTCACGTTATTCAGTCACAATTCTATTAATTAGCATCTTGGCAAAGCATGCTCTTACGCCACTTCCAATAGTTAACTCTTATTGGATCGACCGTTTCCAAGAGAGAGCAAATAGTTTTGGCCAAGTCAGATTCTGCTTGTTCCAAGTCTGAATTTCTTAGAGCATCCACGGCATCTCTGAACTCTTGGCTTGCTTGGAAACCATGGCATATGAGATCCAAAAGTGTGCTTAAAGCAAAGATACAGTCGGTTTTGGCAATTAAAATCTTCAAGCATACTGAAGAAATTTGAGTATTCTTCATCCAAGACTGATTGTCATTTTTGTAAAGCCCCCGAAGGTATCTCCATGAACTTTCATTCTCAGGGTGGGCTACAATGGCCTTCAGAGTATAAGACACTTCAGACTCTCTCATAGCTTTTAGGCCTCCCAGGAATGGAGATCTTGTAATGACAAAATTTCTCTGTTATAAACAAGCATATCCGGGTCAAAGAAGAAACATGCACTAATACACACAAAGCAAAGTGAACATACAGATAATTACTGTTCAAACCTCAAAAGCACTTGAACAAGAGCAGAAGGCCATAATGCAGTATTTATAAGACTTAGAAGGGGCATTTTGTTGGTTACATGAAGGCATTTCTTTACTGTTTACGAGTAGCAAATTCCAGTGGGAAGATGCATAGCAATGCTGTTTCTAGTTAGACTAATGACCAGACCACAAGCTCTTTCGTTTTTTTTTTATAAATTTTTTTTCTTTCAGAAAATCTAAAAAGATTAGAAGGTTCTAGATTACATCCTTCGATGCCTGCAGTATCTCCTAATAAAGAACGTAACAATGCAATAGATCAATCATCAAATATTGAAGGGGGAGACTGCTGATCACCTTTTTGTTCATTGTCCAATACCATTATAATTGTGGTATGCTTTATTTCGGGAAGCAAGGTTAAGTCGGGAGATCCCTGCAGACTGTTACTCTTTACTGAGTGAGAACACTGAAGCTTTTGGCAAAGGGAAAAAGTCTAGACTCTAGTGTGGATGTTGTAGGTTCGCTGTTTTGTAGGTAATTTGGTCAGGGAGAAACAAAAGGAATTTTGATGGTTATAGGTAGGGATGTTCCTTTACCATCCATTCTACTTGACTGGCAGCCTGCTGTTGACTGATTAGTTTGTTGGGTTTTTTAACGCTTCTTTGTTTCTTCTTTTATAAAAATATAGATCCAACGTGCAATATGTGCAGTTATCCTAACGCTCCACATTCTAGACAAGGCTATAACTTCATTTTCTGCGTTTATATGGTTAGAGGCTTAGAACCAAATGGCAGGTAAAGAATATCTATAATCTGTGCATACCTGATTCCAAGCAGAATTGTTAAAGACATCTTCTTCAAGGAGCTCATGACAATAGTCAAGTTCATCCTCCCACCCTCCGAGCTCCTGAAGAACCCACTGCATAACAAACAAACAAAAATGAAAATAAAATCCTGTTTGTAAAACCCAAATACCAAGTATACACTAAGAGCAATGGTGCTCAAAGTGCTCATCCGTTAATAAGAATCAGGTCTAAAAACAAATACAAGGAAGATCCTGATGTCTTGCATTCAGCACAATGGGGTCAAAGGAAGAAACATACCTGCCTATGAGACCAAGCATGATAATGTTTAGCATCATGGGAAAGTATCTTCTTGGTGAACTCAAGTTCCTGCCTTGTAGCATTAGTTCCCAATATCTCAGCAACCCACCGTCTATGATGCCTACAAGTATCTTTCATAAATTATGGAGTGCTAGTAAACTCATAGATGTTTTAAGGAAATATTTGATGACAACGTAACTTAATAGAAGCAGTAAAGAAAGAAAATAAAAATACTGACATCAGAGACTACTAACTACTGAGGTATGAATCATGACAATAATCGTTGTCCATATTCCTTGAAGATTTCATAATCAGCAGCTATAAGCAACTGCAATAGTAAGTTCAAATTGCTTACAAGTTACAACCTAAACTGTCCAACATCAATGTAACCAAGGCTCTTTGCCAGAAATCTCTGGCCTGTTGGAGAGCCCATGCATATGCCAAATAGACTATATTAAAGATCAATATCATACCCATCTAAACTTGAAACAGAAGCATAGTTGAAAACTCGAACACCATATGCACACAGACACACATATTGGAGATAGAACAATTATCCAGCTGAAATTCAATGGCAACAAAGTACAGAAAGACTTGTAGCTCACCATAACTGATAATTTTTTGAGTTAGCCTTTGCAATATCTTCAGTGAAATCAAGTTCATTCTGTAAATCAGCACTAAGCGCCTTCAGTATTAAACGCCTGAAATGCCAAACCTGCACAGAAGAAAAAGACAATTTGAACACTGCACTACGAATTTTGTCCGTATTTCACGACTACCCAACATCCCATTGATGCCAAACTACTTAGTAGAGTTATCTTTTTCAGTTTCCAGATTTTCTCATCAACCAAAGAAACAAAAATGAAAAAACACTAAAACTATGGGATTTTGAATTATGATCAACTCCTAATGAATGACAAGATACTAAACCTCGATAAGTACCTTCCTTTCACACTTTCCTAGTATTTATCAGCAACCAAACAAAGCATAAAAGGAAAAAGAAAAAGAAAACCTCCAACGATTTAAAATAGAAAAGAAAAATCCTCAGTAAAAGTTTTTGGGTACTTCAAGATAGACTTTCAAGTAGAGAAACTAACACTATTAATGTCAGAATACACAAAATCTCACTTTCCCAGAATTTCTGAGCAACCAAACAGAGTAACCCTTCCCTGCCCCACCCAAACAAATCTCAAAAAACTGGAAAGCGGAAAAAGATGCAGAGATTGGGATTCAAAGACGAAGCTCACAGTGTAGTTTCCTGAGTTCAATTTGATGGCTTCCGTGGTGAGCTGAAGGGCACGAAGGGATCGCTCATCTGCTCTGTAGAGGGCTCGGAAGTAGTTCATGGTCTCTGTGAACTCTTCCTTGTAGGCTATGGGGACGACCGGGTTCGGGCCGTCGTCTTGCTCAACCGGAACGACGTCCGACCACTCCGGTCTATTCTTCAATGGTACCCACTCTTGTTCTTCGTCCGACTCCATCTCTCTCGCAGCTTCTTCCTTTCCTTTGAGCCGATGAAAGAGAGAGAGAGAGAGAGAGAGAGAGAGAGAGATGTATAGGCGAGTCTTCCTTTCTGGACTGTAGTAAAAGAGTTAAAACCCGGATCAGAGTTGGCAAACGGGTGGGGCACGGGGAGATATTAAACACAAAGCAGCGAGAAATTTTGTAAAAGAAGTCAAACTGAACAAAATTACCCTTATTTACCTTGGATTTCCTAAAGAATCATTTATATTTACATGTCTTTGATTTGAAACTTAAGAGGTTTTTCTGTCTTTTTTGAAAAAGTTTTGACTTTTTCTAAAAGTGAAATTTTTTTTTGGCTAAAATCTAAATTTACTTAAAACTATAGGTTAATAGTTAACTTAGAACCAATTTGTATTTGAGTACCTCAATTTCCAAAATAATTCTCCTGGTCCTTCAATTTCAATTTCGTTAGGACAAACGTTCCTGCCGTTAATTTTGTTAACTTTTCTGTTAAATGCAGGGGCAAAATGATATTTTGTTAAAAATTGATTAAAATATAAATAATTAAATTAAAAAACTAAAAAATTAAAATTGAACTCTCTCTCTCACCCTCTATCCCGATTTCTACTCCCCTCAAACTTCTTTTTTTTTTGTTGGTTTTTATTTGATTTTCTTTTATTGTTATTTTAAAGATATGATTTTTTTAAATTCAGTTTTTGGTTTTAATATAAAATACCATTTTTGCCCCTGCATTTAACAGAAAAAGTTAACAAAATTGACGGTAGGACCA